AGTCAAAAAATATAAAGTGGGGCAAAAAAGTATTCAGTCAGCCACCGATTGTGCAAGTTCTCCCACTTAAAATAATGACAGAAGTCAGTAATTTTCATCATAGGTACACTTCAACTGTGAGAGACAGATAAACAGCCCCAAAGCATGACATTTCCACCCCCATGCTTCACAGTAGGTATGGTGTTCTTGAAATGCAACTCAGTATTCTTCTTCCTCCAAACACGACAAGTTGAGTTTATACCATACAGTTCTACTTTGGTTTCATCTGACCACATGACATTCTCCCAATCCTCTGCTGTATCATCCATGTGCTCTCTGGCAAACTTCAGACGGGCCTGGACATGCTCTGGCTTCAGCAGGGGGACACGTCTGGCACTGCAGGATTTGATTCCCTGTGGTCGTAGTGTGTTACTACGACCAACAAAGGTTACTGATGGTAACCTTTGTTACTTTGGTCCCAGCTCTCTGCAAGTCATTCACCAGGTCCCCCTGTGTGGTTCTGGGATTTTTGATCACCGTTCTCATGATCATTTTGACCCCACGGGATGAGATCTTGCGTGGAGCCCCAGATCGAGGGAGATTATCAGTGGTCTTGTATGTCTTCCATTTTCTGATAATTGCTCCCACAGTTGATTTGTTCACACCAAGCTGCTTGCCTATTGTAGATTCCCAGTCTGGTGCAGGTCTACAATTCTTTTCCTGGTGTCCTTCGACAGCTCTTTGGTCTTGGCCATAGTGGAGTTTGGAGTCTGACTGTTTGAGGCTGTGGACAGGTGTCTTTTATATAGATAACAAGTTCAAACAGGTGCCATTAATACAGATAACGAGTGGAGGACAGAAGAGCTTCTTAAAGAAGAAGTTACGGGGAATTTACACAGTAGGCGTAAACAGCGCGTACGCGTTTACTGCGTGCTCTCTGCGCGTAACATTTTTTTGGAGTATCTACACAGGCCGTGCGCGCAGGTCCGCGTCTTCTGAAGCTGTCCCTGTGTAGTCTATGGAGCAGTGTAGAGGACAGTACGGGCCAGAGGACTGATGTAGAGCAACACAAATCACATGCATGTGTTTGTCCTCATGGTCTTTGTGCGCTGGTTTGGCCAGACGTGAGATTTTATGAAAGAAAAAAAACGATGTCCAGAATCACTGTAAAACCTGCTGCCCCTCCTGCTGATGTTTAGACACAAGTGCAGTGTGTGCGTAGATGCGATCTAGAGCCAAGGACCGCTAGAAAAATCATGTTTTACATGAGATTTCAATGGGAGACGCGTTGGTGCGCGCACAAAATTAGAAATCCATCCTAAATTAGAGCGCAGCTTCGCGTCACATGTCCGTCATACGCGCGTATAACGCTAGAAGTGTAAATATCATCATAGGTTAACATGGAAAAAAGTTATGCGCGTCTGCTGCGCGTATAACGCGTACGTGCTGTAACGCGTGATGTGTAAATTAGCAGTTACAGGTTTGTGAGAGCCAGAGATCTTCCTTGTTTGAAGTGACCAAATACTTATTTTCCACCATAATTTACAAATAAATTCTTTAGAAATCCTACAATGTGAATTCCTGGATTTTTTTTCACATTCTGTCTCTCACAGTTGAAGTGTACCTGTGACGAAAATTACAGACCTCTGTCATTATTTTAAGTGCGAGAACATGCACAATCGGTGGTTGACTAAATACTTTTTTGCCCCAGTGTACATATTGTAGATATAATCTGTTTTTGTCATCCATACTATAGTTTCAGTCGGAAGGGCAGCCTGGCCTCGCACACTGTTGCAGAATCATCAGAAAATCCTTAAGTGTGTAGCCAGCTTTAGGATACTCTCGTACACATCACATTTCCGGAGACACTGTGATCAGCATCTCTGACAGTAAAAAAACGATATTTCACAGATTCACTTTTGTCTTTTGCAAAGGTCAGCTGCGTTTCCAGCTTTTTTCAATCTCACAATTCTCTATGCCTTTGTTTTCACGGCCTCTTCTTTTGAAAATAAAATCCTATTCAATTTCAAAGATAGTTCAGCCATAGAAGGAGTCTAAAAGGATTTTCCAGTAAAAGTATTGCTCAGATGAGTCATTGCGGCCGCTGCAGTCGCTGACATTAAGGCTAATTCCTTTAAATTGCTTATCCAAACACAGCCATTCATTAGAGGCTGTGTGCGTTTCCTTTGTCATAAAAGCCACATTTGCCTTTTTTATTACTAGTTTTGTCTTAATTATGTGCAGTATAAAGTCCAGCCTAACAATTGCATAATGTGATGATACTCTACAGTGTGTTCTGAGATTTAGTTTTACAACCTGTTACAATGTACTATCACATATTCTTACATATAATTGTTACTAACTTACCTTAACTATCATGGTCTACCAACGTATGCACACATTTTCTCTAATTGTTTAAGAGGTCCATTACTTTTGCAGACAGATGGATTATTTAAAAAAAAAAGGAGCACCACGCTCACAGGAAATCCCTCTTCCCATTGGTCCAACTGCTTTCCTCCAGCCAATCTGGTTCAACCCTAACCCTAACCCTATTCCATTTCTGAGTCGGGGGGTGGCAGTCAGAGCTGCACCCAGTACACAGAGCACCAGCCCCTCACTGATCCTCCTGTAGGTGGTGAGTCCACAGGAGGTGAGATCTTTCAGTGGGAGCTTCAGGCAAAGTGGGGTTAAGTGTCTTGCCCAAGGACCCAACGACAGCAGTTATCAGCGGGAGTCGTGAAGTAGGTTTTGTGGTGGGCTCGAACCCACGACCTTCAGGTTCAAAGGCCAATGCTCTACCAACTGAGCCACTGTCACCCACAAAATTCAAAATCATTATTTTATTAAGGAATCAAATTAACATTTTCTGACATTACTTTAAAAAAGTGGGTGTGTTATTATACATTGTTAAAGCAGGGGTACAAAAGCAAGTTTGTTCCTAAAGAAACTGTCATATAAAAATGATCCACAACATGCAGTCTTTATCTAAGTAAGTTTTTCTAAGTTTATATTTCTGCATGAGACAAAGCACCTTATGAGTCACTATTTGACACTTTGGGTTGAGTGCTGAGAGCTGAGTGAAGGGCTGTCCTCTCTTTTTCACTTTTCTGTCTGAAAAATCTGATGTAAATATTCAACAGAGAAAAAAATCACGTGTTTGAGGATCCAGGACACTCGACATTCAACAACATTTATGGACGTTGGTCATCTACCCCTTGTGGACCAATGGCTCTTTGCTTTTTTTATCATATCACATTTTGTGTGTTTGAACTTCTGATTGTCTGATCTGTGTTGGTGGTTTCGTAAAGTCCTTCTTAGATAACTACTATTGTGATTTAGGGCTAAATCAAAATATTGAATTGAATTGCATTGAACTCATGATTGAGAGTGAGGGACTATAAAGACTTGGAGTTTATTACATACTACATTTTTGTGGTACTGTAGTTACAATGTATCCAGTGCAGCGCCAGTCACTTCTGCTACAATGCACATCCGAGTTAAAGCCAAAATTCTTTTCATGTCACTCTTTTTGTGTTCTTTTTGTTCCACACCCATTACTGAGCCTGCACTGTAGCGGCTCACCAGACTGTCAGTGATGATGAATGTGAAATGGCAGAGAAGATACAGCGCTGCAATCCCAACCAGAGGAGGCGCAGCGGGCTCCTCCTCTCAGCTGTCACCTGCTGCGGCTTCACTGATTGCGCTCAAGGCTTTGCGATCAGGCATCTGAACCGGCTCCGTATGAGGGGGCGCTTTGAAGATTTTGGGGGTCTTTATGAGGTGGATTCAAAGCAGAGTGTTTTGCTGAGGTTGCCACCTCCAAAGCTGGGAGGTAGTATAATATTACACATTGGGATCTTGGAAATACTTATTTTCAATCCAGATATTTATTTCAAACCTGCACTCAAAAATATGGAAGAAAATACAGCTTTTGGAAACTATTGATAGGGATATGAATCCTTGTGAAACATTGAGGCTTTTCTATTGCAGTTGTATCGAAGTGTCAATATTATATGAGTTGGGGGTCTGTAAAATCGAGAGCTTTGCCTTTCGGCTCAGCTCCCTCTTCACCACAACTGGCCGTTACAACAACCGATTCACCTGTCAATCTCACACTCCATCCTTCCCTCACTCGTGAACAAGATCTTTAGATACTTGAACTCCTCCACTTAAGGACTATTACAATACAAAGCAATGTAAATAACACCAGAGAAACTACACTGTTCAAAAAGTGTTTCGAACATAATCCATAGGTAACATGCCGTAAATACTTTAACATTTGTGGACAATTTATAGATTCAATCAATCAATCAACTTTATTTGTATGGCGCCTTTCCAACACAAGGCCACTCAAAGCGCCTCACAACCCACATAATATCAGACAAATCAGAAACATCAAAAACTACATATACAAACAATAAATACATTAAAAACAGAATAAAATCACAAGTAATGAAAAAACCTTAAAACATTAAAAGCACACACGGGATTAAAATAATAAATAACCACAATGCATTAAAAAAGAGTATGTATCAATAAAATCCTTCAGCCGTATGCACAGCTAAAAAGAACAGTTTTTAACCCTGATTTGAAAATTGCCAGAGTAGATGCTAGCCTCACATCTTCATCCTTGTGATGCTCTTTTCTATGAGCAGCGACAGGGTCATAACACGTTTTATATTTGTTTAAACAATCCATTCTAAGATTTCACATTGATAGCACCAATGATTAAGATGAATGAATGTCACAGCCTTGTGTTGTTGGCAAAAACAAGGGAACGTATGTGATGTCCTGGAGCTCATGAAGGACTTCTGCGATAAATAATTTCAAACTCATATTTCATGCAACATACATTCAAGACTTATATATTCTGCACATAAAGCTTTTATACATCCGTGGTATGAAATAATCTACAAGACTGGCTTCCACTTCAACCATGAAATGTACTCTCTCAGCAAAGTGCCTTGTGAATAGCTGCTGCAATATGTAAGACTAATAATGTTCTTTGTGTCTTTTTACAGTGTCCCTTGGTTTGTGAATCAGCCTCCCATGTCTGCCTCGATAGAGAGACCAACCCTTTGTCGGGACCCGGTAAGATCTGAAAACCTGTGCATTTCATTATGTTGCGCTCAAACATTCAGCAGTCTTTAGGTTTTAGGGGAATGAAAGCAATAAATGTCGTATGATTATTTGTGGACATTCAACTTTTTACGTTTCTATTTTTAGTACATTATAATGAGATGCTTGCTCGTGTGTTCATAAAGTAGATTTTTTTCCTTTATTAGCCCTTTAGTCTAGCAGTTTCCTGTGCTATAGGACTTATAAAGGAATGTCCCCTGTTTCCTTCCTGTTCCTCATTGCCCAATTGTGAGCCAGCTTGTCATAGCGGACGGAACATCAGCCACCGGGTCAATGATAAGCAAAGGAATGTCCTTGGCGCATGAAATATATTGGGGCACAAGGAATGTTTTTCTTTTTATAAGCCATGTTTTTTTCCACACTTCTTGTTGCTATGAAACAGGATACTAGCCTGTTTTCTCCTTTGACAACTTTTTACATTTCTCTTGTTTCTCAATCATATGCCACACATGTACAATATCCGTCCTCCAAATTCCCATCTTACTCTTCTTCACACTTTTGCCATCAGTCACCTACCGTCAGTAGCAAACTTATCGTCCAAACTGGCACTGTTCGCATATGGGGGTGCACATCTGCGCTCTGTCAAAAAGCACACCGTCCCAGAGGAGACGCACAGATTTTGTAATGCAATTTTGGGCTTCCACTCTTATTGCCTTTGCAAAATGAGAATCTGTAGAAGCAATGAGATAGCACAGCCCACACGCGCCACGGCCCCGTCACTACAAGTCATTTTCCTAAGAGGTGTCGGGGGGCAGGGACAACGGAGGCGTCTGATTGGTGGACAGATTAGTCCAGAGATGGGAATGGGTGTATAGGTTAATCCGTTTGTCTGACTAGGGTGTAAGTCATCTTCACTTTCATCCAGGTAGCCCTTTTGTCCCCTGCAAAGGTGGTATGTAAAATAAAGTATTTTTACTGAAAGAAGACTTATTTTGCAAATACACTATTTTACGATGTTACAACTTTGATTCCCCATCAAAAATAGACCAGAAGTTAATATCCCCACTGTGGGACGAATCTAAAGGGGCGATCACACCGGACGTTGCGTTGCATGGCATAGGGCGCATAGGGCGTCACGGTGGCTGAGTGGATAGCACTCTCGCCTCTCAGCAAGAAGATCCTGGGTTCGAATCCCGGTCGGACCAGGGCCTTTCTGAGTGGAGTTTGCATGTTCTCCCCGTGTCTGCGTAGGTTTCCTCCGGGTACTCCGGTTTCCCCTACCACTAAAAATATGTACAATAGGTCTGGCATGTGCCTCCTGTACTGGCCCTGCTCCCATCTCTGTGTGGAGTGAGAGACAAATGCCCAAAATTAACAATTGTAAACCGCTTTGAGACTCAGATCTGCAGTGAAAAGGCGGTATATAAATAAAAACTTACTTACTTACTTACTTACTTACATGGCGATTTAATGCAAAGTCAATTTAATGCAAAGTCAATTCAATGCAAAATCAATTTTAGGTAAAGTCAATTGTCGGTGCAAATATTTGCATGTGAGTTGAGGCGTGCAGGTTTGTCTACTGCAGAAGATGCGTGGTTACGGCGTTGTTGCGGCGTTACAAAAACATGGGTACGGCAACTCGACGCATGCGGCTTAAGCAGGAGATGAACATTGTTCAACTTTCTCAACAGACGCACGTGTGGTAACCAATGAGAAAGCAGCAAAGTGGTCACGGGGACACTAGCCGGTCAGAGCAAGAAGATGGAGACACTCAAACAGCCAAAACATGAGCTAGACCAGGGCTGACAATGGACACAGTGCTTGTGAACGTGCACCTCAAGCCTGAGTTCTTATTCTACCATGACTGTATACAAGTGCTTCTCATGTGTTCGCCAATACAAAAGTCCCAGGTAATAATTAGAAAATGTATTTAATTAATTAGAGGCTTTGTAATTAATTAATCGCAATTAATCACATTTTAATTGCATACAGTGGGGCAAAAAAGTATTTAGTCAGCCATTTTTTGGCTGTCAACTTGTGTAATCGGTCCGTCTAAAACTCATCCAGTAAGGAACGTTCCGCGGTGCAACGTCCCATACAATTAAAATGCGTAATTTTTTTTAACGCGCTAATTTTTGTGGCGTTAATTAATCTTAATTAACGCGTTAAAGTCCCGGCCCTAGTAATAATATAATACATCCATGAGGCAGCTACACGAGCAGATACTGCTGTAATATGATGTCTCTGGAGGGTCTCGCGACACAGAGAGCTGTTCTCTTGGTGAAGAACTTTACAAGGAAAGCTGTTAGACGAGACGATGCGTCGTGGTTTAAAAGCTCCTGTAATAGTTTGATGTCATTGCACCACTATGACATCACGGTCAGATAGATTCGTTTTGGAAGTGTCTCAAGTGAAATTACAGTGATTTAAAAAAATCTACTGAAGATATTATTTCACATTCTGAAACATGTAATGTAACTTCTTTGCTTGAGATATTTTTTTTCTTTTTGTGAATAACTTTTCTTTGTAACATTCCATAACCTGTTAAGATCACAACATGACGTCTTCATTTTATAATAAAACATATGGTGAGAGCTGGTAGCCTACTTTCTTTTTCACAGAATACGCTGATCTAAAGAGGTAACAGAGGTCAAAAATACATGCATGTGAAAGTGATTTTATTACTTTTTTATTTTTTGTGGTTTCCATCTTGAACTTTTTACTTTTACTCTTTACTTTTAACCTAAATATGTCTACTTTCTACTCCTTACATTTTAATATGACAATAGTTACTTTGCCAATGGCTACACAGCTTAAAAACAGGCTTGATTAATAAGGGTTAAATGTTTGTTTGTTTATTGTCATATTCTCTATAATGCATTTATAGAGAATACGACTAGCATTTCGACAACAGTATAGTGTTGTTTGTCTAAAAAGGCGATGTCTATATCATATCTCAAATAAGCAGGGGTGCGCATAAGTGGTACGCAGGTACGCATGCGTGTAAAATATCAGAAATGCGTACTATCACTTGAGTTAGAAAGCGCTTTTGCGTACTTCACATAGATCAGTCCTTCTCAAAGAGTGTGGCGCTCCTATAGGGGGGTGTGGTGCAATAACATCCTCCGTTCTGACCCCGGGAGAAACTGTGGCCGCTCTGACAGCTCAGCGAACGCGCGTGGTCATGTACCGAGTGCGGACCATAGACGCGCGTACAGAACCATACACACGCGATCATCCCCAGGTTGTTGCACGTGCGGGTCTTACCTGTCTCCCCTGTCTCTCCCCCGTCTCTTCCCCGTCTCTTCCCCATGCCTCCCCCACGTCTCTGCCAAGTCTCCGGACGAAGCGCAGCCAAAACTCGCTGAATTAAAGCCCAGGTACTTACATTTTCGCTTGCAGTGAAAATGCATGTTATTTGTGCATAAAAGTAAAATGTTGTGACCAAATCAAACAGAACAAACCAAAACAGTCTCGTTTATTTTACTTACTTAAGAAAGAACCCTGTGAGTCACTATTTGACTTTTTGGGCCGGGAGTGGATTTTCTAAATACTTTTTTTCACATAGTTACTTTATTTCCAAACTCTTTTTGACTTTTTGAGAAAGATGTGTTTGTCCCACTTTATTATTGCTTGTTTATTATTCTACTGAAGGATTATAATAATACACTGCATTTTTATTGACAAGTGTCAGCTCTCAAATTCTTTTGAAATGATGTTTCTCTCTGCTACAGAGGACGTTGAATTTCAGAAAAACTTCAGGTTTTGGAGGGTGGTTTTAAAATCGGCCGTAGGTTTTACAGGTCTGTTTTATCAGCTGTGTCAGGCCTTAATGGGTTATTTGACTTGGATTGAGTGGATTATCTGAGCTGATAAAAACTTTAGCATTAAAAAGAAGCAAGTATAAAATCTCTATTAAGAACCGCGCGACAAATGAGTACCAAACACCATGTCCTGGTACTCATCTGAGTACCTCACTGAAAAAGTGAGGTACTCAGTTATAGTTATTTGCACCCCTGCAAATAACTATATTTTCCATGCTTTTACTTTCTTACTTAAGTATGGTCAATAGCTTTTAGTTTTATATTTAAAGAGTCTGTATATTACATTCAAATGTTGTAGTATGTGTCCCCAGATTACAGGTCAAAAACTCGGTAACTATGGTAACAAACAAGGTCACAAAAATATGGTGAAAATGATGCCCACAAAATGTGAGTGTACAATTTCCAGGAAGATTATCTAATCAGAGGGCAGAATGAGATGACTCTCATTTGGGTTGCCAGTTTAAAATTCAGCTGTTATTTTGTTATTTTTTACGAACAAACAAACAAAAATAAGCACCAGACAGATTTAAATGAAACTAGGTTAAAAAAAAGTAGTTAAATTTGATACACAGTGTTTATACTGTGTAACTCCAGCTGGTGGTTTGCATATGTAATTTGTGCTAAGGAGCTACATGTGTCACACACGGGGAAGAATCTGGCAAGAAGAGCTGGATTGTAATAGTAATGTTATTAGACCACTGCATTTCACACACAGACCTTAAAGTTAGCTCTGACTGAATCACTTCAATCGATTTTTATAGTATTCATAATTTTACTTAACACTTCTCTAATATTTTTGCCATCAAGTGCACTTCTACTTCTACGCACGCCAGCACTGTCTGAAAAAGTAATTTAATCTCATTGCCATTAGCCGTCTATCCCTGGGTCATTTTGGTAGACTGTCTATTACTTAATCATTGTTAATTACGAGAAGTCTATAATGAAAAAAACAAGACTCCCGCAGTGAGGCTATTGCATTTTTATCATCTCTCCTGTAATGAGCTCAGCACACTGCATATTTTGAATGTTTTATTTAATTAAATTTGAAGCCATCAAGTGAAGTATTTCTGAGAATGTGTCGGTCAAGTTCTCAATTGCTTAATTTTTTGGGTGTGAAGTGTCAAGGCGATCGTCTTACAGATTTAAAAAAAAAATACAACAAAAACTTTTGCATCTGTTTTATGACAGTGAGGTTGTGAGGTACACCAGTTGTTGGTGTACTCATTCCATTTTTAATTGGTAATTGGTACAAACCTTTAACGAGCTTCAACCTGCTACATTATATACTGTATAATAATTTCACTTGTGGCTCATTAGTACATTTCAAACCGCAATATTATTGTGATGAAGTACACAGCCCCTCGCCGCACGCCTCATTTTTTTTGATTTGCTTCATGGAGAAAACGCAGGAAACACTCTGTTGTAAATTGAAGCCAACTGCATGGGAAAGCTAGATCCTGTCATACCCAAGAAGCTAAGCAGTGAAGTGTCTGGTTAGTACTGTGCTGGGAGATCTCTGGGAACACCAGGTGCCACAGTGGGGTGGTTGTAAAGTGCCAAAATTATTGTTGTGTCCTTAGGCAAGACATTTCACCCACATTGCCTCAAATGAGAATGATGTGTGCTTGAATGGTTGGTAGGGACAATGGCCACAGCTGTAGATGTATCCACACTGTATGAAGTAAATTAACTACGCAATATGAAGCATCTTTTATATATATATGCAAAATATATATTTTACATTGTAGTTATTATAGGCTACAATTTCATTACAACTGCTAAAGTCAAAGAGTAGGTAATTTTTGTTTATATATAGCACATTTCACAGACCAATCTCACCCAATGTTTACAATGTTTTGCAGACGTAGTTCTCTGCCATTTCTGTTTTTTTTTTTGTCTGTTTTTTTTTTTTTTATAAAAGTAGCTTTCTAATTGAAAAAGGTTGGAGACCCTTGCTTTACAGTATTCCTACTCTTAATCTCAGCCGTTGCATCTTATGCCACAGTTGCCGGCGGACACCGTTATGGCGCATTGACAGCTTCACAGCCTCCGGTGCTCCCCTATCCCTCCCATGTTTGAAGGGCATCATTTAAGGTCAAATGACATGGCACCAACAAGATTAATGGTCTGGACACCTCAGCAGATGTCTTTGAGCACAGACAGCCCAGGATGCATCGTGCAGGCTTGTGTGAAGACATGTTTTTTTGTACCCCGACCAGTCGAAGCAGAAATGATAAAATGTTTGTCTGAGTTGTGAATAGAGACAGACACATTTGTAACGGTGATGTGCATGTGTAAAGGGTCAGACTTTCCCTGAGGCTCTCTCCAGCAGCAGGGTGAATTCTGCAAGGCCAACCAGAGACATATTATGCAAAATCAACTTCTCACTTCTGTAATAGTAGATGTAATTGTACAACTATTACATTCCTCAAGTAAAATGAAAAAAATACTGGTGGTAACATAGGGAGTTACAGGCAGAAAGTATTTGTTGTTGCAGTTAAAATTGATGTCTGTAACATTATTAATTTTAAATAAAATACATATATTTGACTATATAAACTGTAAAATAATTTATATTGAGTTTTGTTCAATTTTCATGTTTAAAACTCCATCCATCCATTTTCTACCACTTTGCCCAAAGCGGGGGCTTTGCGCAAAGTGGGGTTAAGTGTCTTGCCCAAGGCCACAACGACAGCAGTCATCAGTGGGAGTCGGTGGAGAAAGTGTGGAGGTGGGAATTGAACCCACGACCTTCAGGCCTGAAGGCCAATGCTCTACCAACTGAGCTACTGTCGCCCTACTGTTTAAAACTCTGCCCTCGGAATAAACATCACCAACAGCATTTGCCGGAGGAGAATCGTTAAACCATTGTTGATGTGCCTCAATTGTTTATGAAGGATTTGAATTTCTTGGGTTCAATCAGGAACATATGGGGGCAGGTCTAACCAGCTCTTGCAATCTAAAAACATCTCTCTCTTCTCTCTATCTTCACAGTTTGAAAAGTGTCCTTCAAAATATGAATTCACTTTCTATAACATGAAATGACAAAGAAAATAGTCTCTCTGTGTTTTTTGAAAATAATTTAAAATGATACAGAAAAATGCTTAAACGTTGCTGGTAGTGGTGCTGGAATAAAAGTTGTAGCTGACTTTGATACTGTGGTTCTAATGCTCAAATACCCCTCTTTACTTTCATCTTTTGCATGCATATAGGTACGTCTTGTTGACTGCATGACTTTTGCTAAACTGTGTAAAATTGTCTGCCCTATCTATAATGTCAAAAATATGAAGATAACTCTTATCTTATATGCCAGCAACTGCTCTGAAATCTTGAGTCGTTTACTTTTTTAAAGAAGACATAATGTATTTCTCTCTGACACCCATGGCTCATTATTATCATGCTATAATATTCAATCCAAGTGTCGGCTGCTTGTGAGCATGAGGGTCTGTACACAAATCCTACATGATTATGTGCCCTGAAAAGAGAGTGCTACCATTTTGCTCAAATACACAATAAGAATCATGCTTAGGACATTTATGAACATGGGCATCCTCCTCCCTTTGGACCAATGGCTCCTATGTGTTTGCTATTATTGCATTTCCTGTGTTTGAACTGTTTGATTCTCTGATCTGTTGTTGGTAAGTTGACAAATTTGTGAAGTCCCCCACGATGACTGCTGTTGTGATTTAGGGCTAATTTTCTGTTGAAAGAGTAGAAGAAATTTTGAGACACAAACATGTTTGTAAGGAAAAACACAGTCAAATCTGTAAAAGTCCATTTCTCCATAGAAGTGTATTTCCTTTAAGACCATCCGTATCTGTACCCACATTATTCAGGATATATATTTGGAGGTATTGGTGAAGCTGTAGCCAAAGTGTTGCATATTCAGCACTGGCATTACTCACGGTTGAAAGCTTGCTTCACCGGAAATACGCGGGAACAGCTTATCTATGCCAGACACAGTTATTGATTATAGAATTTCATTTGCGCTTCATATTTCACGGAAGGCTTCTAAACAGTCTGGCTCTGACATGTCCTTGAGGTGGCCGGCCAGTGCCTTCCCCTCCCCGATCGGCCAACTGTATTTGAAAGTGATGAATTATTTCTTTGCGTTCAATACACCTCTTCTACTCCCTTTGGTCTCTTCTCTCTCTTCTCAGTGTTCAAGAACCCGGTGTGTAAGGTGTACAGATTCCAGACCGCGGACAGCAAGTGGATGCTGGTGCGGGAACAAATGGAGGAGTGCACGTTGTCGCTGAGCATTCCCAGGCAGCTCATCAGTCTCTACATTCAGGAAGACATGCTCCGGTGAGTCATCTTGTTACAGCACCCAGCTATCAAGGCCATCAAAAATCACTGCCATCACAATTAATGTAGGCCTCTAAGATTAAATAACCAATGAATTGCTTGAAATTTTGTTTTCATTTCATTTAAGAAAGAAAAAAAAAAAGATCAGATATAAAACACACATAAAACACATCAGCCCAGAGTGCTTCACAAGCACAAAATATAAAAAAAAGAAAAGAAAACAGCACAACATACACACACATACATGTAAAAGTAAAATGGTAAAACTCAATTTGTGTTAAAAGCCAAGGTGTAAAAATGTGTCTTTAAACTAGACTTAAAAACTTCCAATGAAGGAGCTGCTCTAATGAACAGAGGTAGACTGTTCCACAGTTTGGGGGCAGCAACAGAATAGGCTCGGTCTCCACGAGTTTTGAGACGAGACTGGGGCACTTTCAACAAAATTCATATCTTATCATTATAATTTACCAGCCTATCTTGTACAAGAAAGAGCTCATGTTTCTGTATCTGTGTTGATTACAGCTAAAAATGAGCTTGAAAAATGTGTGTTTATTTATGCAAAAATTGTTCTGCATCATTTGTCATATATTTTACAATACTTACAATATTTAATTCAGATAATGATAAAAATCAGTCTTATAGAGCACTTTTTTGGGCAGCACTTGGTGGTTTGACCTTGTGTATTACCGCAACAAGGTCCTGAGTTTGATTCCACCTCGAGGACTTTTGGTGTGGAGTTTACATGTTCTCCTCTTGTTTGTTTACTGTAGGTTTATGTACAATAGGCGTGAATGGATGGTGTTGGTTGGGGGCTTTGATTCGCCAGTATTTTCCGCGTCTCGCGTCTGTCATCGCTGTGTGTGGAGTGAGTGGAAAAATACACTCTGAACATTGTAAAGTGCTTTGGGTGACCTTGGTCTAAAAAATAACTTTTAAAAATGTTACATCTGGATTAAAAGAGACAGATCCAAACTATATATTATCCGAACATGAGGGGCAATTCATTTTTGCAGCATCAGCGCATACCTTTTCCTGTTGCCAAATAATTTAATGAGGGGGTAGGTTTTATCAGTTCCACATCAGTCTGTCTTATATAAATAGAAAACATGTTCAAGTTTCAACATTTGTAAGGAGGAGCCCTGCGAGTCACTATTTGACACTTTTGGTTGAGAGTTGAGTGAGGGTGATCCTCTCTTTTCACTTTTCTGTCCAAAAGTGGTAGAAATAAAACTGTTTCATAAGATCATCTTTAAGTGATATATCCCTTATTGTAAAGCCACTAATTTACTGATATAAAGTTGAAAGCCTACAAGCACTGTATATGACTACTTATATATGCCATCTCTGCCTATGGCCGGGCTCAGCAAAAAAGAAACAAAAAAAGCCCAGCCCATCTTGAAGTCCGCTCCGTTTATTCAGTGAGAGAATGAGGCCAGGTTAAGACAAGGACAGGAGCAGATGATGTTTCTCCAGTGTGAGCGCGCACCCTAAGTAGATCACAAAGTACCTCCCCTCCGGCTCCACCGCTGTTTGTCAAGACACATCATCCCTCAACTGGCCCGTCGTCCCCGGCAACACCTCTCATATGCATTCAGACACAGTCGCGCACAACAACAAAAACAGAATTCATCTTTATGGCACTATACAAAAATAGCAGCATAATGTGACTGATAATAGTCTCCGGCGTGCTCGCTGGTGAATGGGATTTTTGTTCAAACCCATTATGGAATAGATTGGGTAATTTAAGGAGCAAATATGTGTGTGTAGTTTTTGTTAGACACTGTGATGAAAATGTATTGAAGTAAAATTTCATGGCATAAAAGTACCCTTGTCAAATTGATAAATAAAAGTTGAAAAAGTAGATGCTAAAAGAAGCCGGTCGGCAGCAAGGCTTTTGTCCTTAAAACACTGTCTAGAATTGGAAGAAATTTGACTTTTGTTTGACTCAAATGTCAAAAATCTGTCATCTTCCAATTCAAATAGCTGAAGCCACTAGTTTTAACTTTTTCTTTCACCCCTGCACTGATTGTTATAAACAGTCTTTTTTTGTTACACTACACAATATTCAGACTCACATAATAAAAAATCTCCATCCATCCACCCATTAAAAAAAAACTCGTATTTTATTATTCACTGGAAAATTACAAATTTCACCAGAAATCCACACCCATTCTTGGGGGCCACATCTGGATCTTAACAATTTGGCAATTTGGAAGGAGTCTTTAGGCCCAACCAGACACTGCGTTTTAAGCCTTGGTCACGCTGGATGTCAAATTTCTTTCCTCTCTCCAATCTTTAATATCACAAGTGAATATGGAGTCTGGGAAAACATGGCTAGATGTTCTTCATTTGGTTTCATCCAAATTTGTCTTGAATGCAGGCTGGTCTTCTAAAAATGATGATGGGGGAAAGAGTAGTCAAGCCGGAGAAGTTGCTGCTAGAATTACGTCTTTAGAGAACCAATCTTTGCCGCCCATGTTTTTCCCTTGGCGTACGGAAATATCCTCGAGCTCACCTCTCACCTCGGGAACGTACAGGGCTCTCTGTATAGCACTTTACAGAGTAGTATAAAACTGGCTTCACTCTCCACATCTTTTTTTGTGCTCACCTACAGTATACTGCACAACCTTTCACCATGCTGTACTGATCAATACTTTTTGTGAATTGTATTGAAGTCCCAACTGTTCCTAATGTGCATTTATTTCTGCTGTACCGTTTCATGTCTCCACATCCATAAGTCTGTTTGAAATTATACCCTCACCTTCTACCTAAATAGTCCCTATAACAAAGTGATTATTGGGACCAAATTTAGAAGCAAATTAAAGAAGATGTATTAAGCGCCTTATCAGCGTAACGCAGCCTGTGAGCGCTCAGCGGGGTGGCGGTGACTACCCTTCTGCCACGTTTGTTTATTAACAGGCATGTTCAGCGCTGTTTCTCCTTCGCCTTCTTTCATAATCCCTTTTAAATGTTGTCAGTCTGCACGGTGCTGCCTCTCCGCGTGGCCAATTCTGTCACTCGCGCATTCAATGATTGTGTTGCGGGTTTCGGTTAGAAGTGCGAAGCCGCCTGGTGGGTGGCTTTTTGAGAATCAGATGGTACTTTTGCAACACTGAAGGGCTCTTTAAAAGTCAGAGTAGTACACAATCGCAGCATGCTCGCCTGGCGGTTGAGAAATGCTTCCTTTTGCATGCCAAAAAAGCATTTTGTCAGTTTTGACTAGTGGGTGACAACATGCTTGCCAATAATGTGGAAGTAGAATTAGCTGTTGTGGAAGTTAAACAAGTAAAAATCAGACCACAACATGCTGTCTATATTTTATTAGAAAATACTTATAGATAGATACATAGATAATATCAGAGATTCTTTTTTTTTGTGTTGCAGCGCACATACAGGACAAGAGCACACAGGGAGCACACAAAATGTACAAAATAAGTAGCTGCTATGTTTCTTAGCTAGCTGTACTAAATGGTTCAATATCAATCTTTCAAAATATCTACATATACATAGTGCAAAAGATACTTTATTGAGCCCAAAAGGAAACATTCAGGTGGCCAGTAGCAGCAGAAAAACATCCATCCATACATACAAAACAAATAAATACACAAAAGTAGCAAAGTAGCAAACAATAGTATGAGCTGCTTCTTATCTTTTGGTTGACGTCTGCAGAGTCGCTTGGTCCTGACCATTTTACTCTGGTCCAGAGTAAAATGCTGAATACTTTATTTGCATTTTCTCAAAAAGTTAGCTTTCCTCCAGTTGATTTACCCTTGATCTGCTTGGTTTGGACCATGAATCCTCTCTGCTCTGGTCTGGATAGGTGTAAAACCATGAACACTGTACTGCAATAACATTTACAGGTAGAAAAAAGCAAGGAAAAAAAACAGTTGTAAAGCACAAAATAAAAGCTACTTAGGACTCGCTGCCATTTCCAGTGCATTATTCATCTTTTGCATTCTTGTAAGAGCCCCGTGAGTCACGATGATTTGGACTAGAAGCTGATTGGCTGAGTGACGGTTGTCCTCTTTTCATATTGTGGCAAAGGCCAAAATACATAGCAACCTGTTCTAGATTGATATTATTAGAGTTACCCAAGCTTTAATGGACAAATTAGGATTACAGTATTGTTTTGTTCCAAGTCTTCTTCTCACAAGCCGGGTCCTGTGTTTGTGTACTGTGGCAGCCGTCTGTGTAGAGACTGTCCATGCACACTTCCTCCAGCTCATCAGGGGAAAGCCTTTTGTTGAAGTAGCAGAGACTCTGGTGGGAGTTCCTTCTGCCACTTTGCAGAGGAAACTCCTTTTGAATATATACGATCTTGTCTTTCTAGTAATAACCCAAAGCTTACAACCACAGGTAAAGGTGGAAACATATAGGTTGACACTTTTTTTTGCTCCAAATAGTTTTAACCCATTGAGGCCGGGAATGCATTCGTGCATTTCAACCTTTCGAGCCGGGGGCACTGTTTTGCACTTCTACTTTTGAGGCCGGGAAAGCAGACACCTCTGTTTATCTTTTTTTAACCAATTCTCTTTATTGATCAATTCTCTTGACCAATGAAATGCATCAGTATGAACCAGGGTTGAGAATTTTCTGCGAATCCGCAAATTCTGACTTTTTCCAGCTGAAAACATAATTTCTGTGAAATGTGTGACGCGGGCTGTTGTTTGCATTACATACTCGAACGGGATTCACATCCTTCGTTCTGACCTCGGGAGCAACTGTGGCCGCTTTGACAACAGCTCAGTGAACGCACAGCCGTAACTGGGTCATACCGAGCACGGACCTTAGACGTAGACGCACGGACAGAACCATCCCCAGCTTGTTGCACATGCAGGTTTTGCCCGTCTTCCCCGTCTCACCCCATCTCTCCCCCGTGTGTCCCCTCGAAGTGCAGCCAAAACTCACTGAATTAAAGAACTTTTCACCCCTGCTCCTCGAGGCTTACGTCACTCACATTTAGCGTTCAAATCTTCCTCCAAATGGGCGTAGCCTGGAGG